TTAGTAGTTAGTTAGTTAGTTAGTTAGTTAGTTAGAGTTAGTTAGTTAGTTAGTTAGTTAGTTAGTAGTTAGTTAGTTAGTTAGTAGTAGTTAGTAGTTAGTTAGTTAGTTAGTTAGTTAGTTAGTTAGTTAGTAGTTAGTTAGTTAGTTAGTTAGTTAGTTAGTAGTTAGTTAGTTAGTTAGTAGTTAGTTAGTTAGTTAGTTAGTTAGTTAGTTAGTTAGTTAGTTAGTAGTTAGTTAGTTAGTAGTTAGTTAGTTAGTAGTTAGTTAGTTAGTTAGTTAGTTAGTTAGTTAGTTAGTAGTTAGTTAGTTAGTTAGGTAGTTAGTTAGTTAGTTAGTTAGTTAGTAGTTAGTTAGTTAGTAGTTAGTTAGTTAGTTAGTAGTAGTTAGTTAGTTAGTTAGTTAGTAGTTAGTAGTTAGTTAGTAGTTAGTTAGTTAGTTAGTAGTTAGTAGTAGTTACTCAATTTATCTGCATTACCCTAATGTGCTGTTTATCTTGCATTCTCAATATTTGTTCTGCATTTTTTTACACATTTAGTGGCGGAAAACAAGTTTCTGTTTAAAGTCTTTTGTTTTTTCCATTTGCCATGTTTGTATTTTAGTTGGAATTCGCCAACTGCCATTAACATTTGTTACTTTTCCAACATTCAAGGAGTTCAAAGTCAAGGTTATGGAAAAGATTACAAAACTATTTTAAAAGTTACACCGTTTCAAATTGTAACGTAAAATTCGGAAATTTATACAGAAATTTGTGAAATCTGACTAGGATTTTTGGTATCATAGAAGAGAATTTCTGAAATACTATAGGAAATGATGTAGGTTTACTTTATATTTAAACTATTCGTTGCAATTTTCTGTATTTTTCTCGTTAGTTAATACAACTAGTTTGGCTTTAATCCAACTAATTTTGTGCCTATAATTCACAGTTTTAAATTAATTAATTGACTTCATAAAACTATTTTATTATATTGTTATTGTAAGCCATAAAATTATGTTAATTATCAATAGATTTAATTTGTTCAAACTTTGGTAAATACTACTACTGTTTTTCTAATTTAAGAATAAAATTCTTCACACGTTTAGTTTTTTTACAAAAAAATTAGCATAATTTATTTTACACAAAAAGTTATTCAACAATTAAAGTGTAAAACTGGTGATGAATTCAATATGTTTTAACAAAAGATTGAATAATAATAGTAAATGGCATAAGAACTATAAAATATTAATGAATTTGAACAAATATCTGTCAAAATGATCATTCAATTTAAAAGGAAATTTCATTTAATAGAAGACAAATTTTAAATAACTTCTAAGATGTCAATTGAAAGAACAATAATGAGAAATAATAGAATCACTACGATCTTCTTAATATTATTTCTATTCCTAACACAAGCTACTAATTGGTTCCTATATCATTAAAAATTACTCAAATTATTTTGAAATTTGTGTAACAAAAATCTATTATTAACTTATTTATTATCTTCTGCTCATTTATTTTTAATCATCCGCTTGTTTCATTAATTGTTTTATATATTGTTTTTAAGATTCTTCAAGAATGATCTAAGATTTTCGTCATATGATTATTAGCACATCTGGGAATTTACGTTTTAATGCTTAAGATCAAAGTCTATGGATAAATTAAGAAATAATTTAAACAAACAAGCTAAGAATAACAAAAGAACAAAAATTATATAGTATAATTTTAAGGCGATAATTTAATTATGCAAATTCGAATAATCTCGATCAAATTTTTATTAGGAAATTATATTATAATTTTTTAAAAACTTTTGCAAAACATTAACGTTACATAATCACACAATTTGTACTCGTTGCATTTGATCCTAATTTGGCATCACTTTTCTTTTTTCTAAAGTGGTTTAAATGTAAATATTTGACAGAGATGCCACACATATTTTAATTATCCTATCATTTTAAGGAAACATTTCCGCAAGTATTTTTCTACACATAAGATTGTATCCATGGTTTTTGTATCCGCATGTATCTTTATCCGCAACATTTTTCTGCAGAAAAACTTTATCCACAACTTTTTTCTTAAGCAAAAACTTTATCCGTAACATTTTTCTAAAGAAAAAACTTTACCCGTGACAATTTTCTATAGAAAAAACTTTATCCGCAACATTTTTCTATAGAAAAATATATATCCGCAACTTTATTCTATATATAAAAATTTATCCGTATGATTTTTCAAAAGAAATAAACCTAAACCGTAACATTTTCCTATAAGAAAAACTTTAGCCGCAACTTGTTTCTATATCAAAAAACTTGTGCTATAGAAAATACTTTTTTTTATATAAAAACTTTATCCGCAGCTTTTTTTCATAGAAAAAACTTTATACGCAACTTTTTTTCATAGAAAAAACTTTATCCGCAACTTTTTTCTATATAAAAAAACTTTATCTGCAACTTTTTCTTTATAAAAAACTTTTTCTACCTTATTAAAAATTTTATCCACTTTTTCTTTTAATAAAGCTTTATCCGCAACTTTTTTTCATAGAAAAAACTTTATACGCAACTTTTTTCATAGAAAAAACTTTATTCGCAACTTTTTCTATATAAAAAAACTTTATCTGCAACTTTTTCTTTATAAAAAACTTTTTCTACCTTATTAAAAACTTTATCCGAAATTTTTCTTAATAGAAAAACTTTAATAACAAGCTTTATCTATAAAAAAATTTTCGAGATCACTTTATCCGAGTGATATTTCTACAAATAGAACATTATCTGATAGATTTTTTTAGAAGGAACGATTTTTTCTATAAAAATAACATTATTGAATGATTTTTGACACATTTTCCAAATTGTTTTTTTTTAACAACTTTATACGAACTATTTTTTATAGAAAAACAATTATCTGTATACTCCATATGTATAATTTTTCTATAAACACGTTATACAAATGTTTTCCATATAGAAGGAACTTCGTCCGATTAATCTTTTTTATTTTATCCAATAGTTTTTCTAAAGGAAAAACTTTATCCTAATCAATCATAAAAAAACTTCTTTCGAATGATTTCTTTTAGAAACAGCTTTATCTGAATTACTTTTTATAGAAAAAAACATTATTCGAAAAATTTTCTCTTAGAAATAACTTAAACGAATATTTTTCTATTGAATGAAACTTTATTCGAATGATCCGAAAAGATTTTCTATGCAAAAACATTATCCGAATAGTTTTTCTATGGAAAAAACATTTTCCCGATAATTCTTTACAGAAAAAACGGTTTTTAATAACTTTAAAGAAATATTCTGGTAGATATACTATTATTGGTGAAAATTACGCTTTCAAATGTAATTTAGATCAAAGACAGTCTGACTAAAAAATTTATAAACACATTTTACTTTTATGTAATTTAAGATTTCATTTCATAATTTAAATTAATAAATTTTAGATTAACATTAAAATTCACTTACCTTTTCGAAAAAAAAAATAGTTTTTTACCAACATCAGTTAAAGCCCCTTATAATTTCTGCTACTTTATAATTCAACACCTTTAATTCATCTCAAACACACTGAATAATTATTTATTTAATAAAATCTTTTATAATTTAAAATCATTTGTTAATTACCAACGATTATTCACACAAATTCCTTTAATTTCCAACATTTCCACTTAAAATTCCCATTTACAGGGTAATTACAAATTGCAGCATCTGGCAACCTTACATTAATATGACTTAACAAAATTAGTTACAAAAGTAACTTATATGTAATATGATCTTGTTTATTAATGCTAATTAATTTACATTTAAACTTTCTTTATACATATTTTGTATTTAGCTTTTACTTTTTTCACAATAAACAAAAACGAATACAAAACAATAACACAAATAACACTTGAGACGCTAAAAAAATTGGCCAACAGACCTTGAACTTGTTTTCTTTTCTTCACACTTGTTGTTTATTAAAATTACACGAATTTTATAAAATTTGCCTTAACGTTTAATAATTAAACCAATAAAAACACTTTTTAACAATAATTGTTTCTTACGTTAGTATTTTTTAATAATTTAATCAAATTACTTTATTATTCCACTAAAAACAACGCGTACCATTAAAAATGCAATTAATGACTGACAAGTGTGTCATTAAACAGCGTGGGAATTAAATGAAGGAAAGAGATAGAGAGTTACTATAAAGAGAATGGGAGTATTAAAGAGGGGTTAAAAGAAAGCTTAAAAATGTAAACAAATGTATGAATGTATGTATGTAAGTGGTGTTTGTGTAAATATGCAATTGTTATGAAAAAAGGATAGAAAGAAATGGTAGTAATATTTTGAGAGAGAGAGTAAGTTGACAATGTAAACAAAGCTAATTGTTGTTGCTGGTTTGTTTATAGTTATTGTTTTGATTGAATGTTTTGTTAAAGGTAATGGCCCTTAAATGTTATCTATAAAAAGGTAGTGAATTAGGAGAGACTAAACTATATAGTGGACTATAGACTAGACTAAAGATTAGATTATTGACTAAACTATAGACTTAACTTTAGACTATTTAATTAACTATAGACTGGATTATAGACTAGACTAGAATAAAGATTAAACTGAATAGGTACCAGACTAGCGGCTATACAATAGACTAGACTATATATTGGACTATAAACTAGACTGTAGACTACACTATAGACTAGACTATAGACTTAACTAAACCATATATTAAACTATAGACTAGACTATAGACTACACTATAAACTAGACTAGAATATAGACTTGACCATAGATTAGACTATACACTACATTATAGACTAGACTATAGACTAAGCTATAGACAAGACTATAGATTAGACTACACTATAGACTAGACTATTGAATAAACTATAGACTAGACTACAGACTGGACTATCGACTTTAGACCATACTATGGACTAGACTATATACTGGACTATAGATTAGACTATAGACTAGACTATAGATAAACCTTTTATTTACATAATTTTAAAAACTTTTTTTAAATAAAACTCTTTATATATTTTTAAAATTTTTTCATTTGAAAATCCAATTATTTCTTTTTATTAATTTAATTAATTTATTTATTTTACTTCTTAAAAGTATTAAAAATATTACAATATAAGACTAAAGTCATTATCACAGTTATAGAGCAAATATAAAAAAATTTTGTTAAAATTTTAAATTCGGAAATCATCTCGACTATTGACACGTGTCATTATAAAGGGATGCTCCTCCGTGGGACACAATAATTTCGAGTATAATTTAGGAGAAAAGGAGGACTTTTCGCCAGCTTTTTCAAAAAGATTATTCCAATAGGAATTGGCGCCTGGAAAAATAAAAAAGGAAGAAACATGTTTTTAATTCAAAATTTGTTTAATGTTAAAATATTTTCCACTTACTTGCTGCATGACCCCTTTGACTGATATGGAAACAATCCTCGGAAGTATAAGAAATATCGGTATTACCATTGGCCAGAGTAGGGAAAATAAAATTCTTGGTAAAATGTTGTATATTAATGGTAAAAGTCTAAAATTAGAAAAAAAAAACATATTAGAAAACTTAAAAAAAATCCAATTATTTCTCTCCTCTAACAAACCTCTGAATTAAATTCCTTTCGATTAACAATCTCTATATCCTTTTCCACCCATTTATCCATTAATTTACCCATATATTCCATTTGTTTCTTTGTTTTACCTATAATACAGGGACACTCAAATCTCAGAGTAGTGCTACACTGTAGAGGCAAACCTTTGAGTCGGGTCAATAACAGTAAATTGGGTGCGGGCACTACATTTAGCATTAAGCGTGGCACATTATCCCTTAAGTAACGATAGGTTTTCAACATATTTTGTTCATGATATTCAATAGCTTTCATGGGATTCGGATAAAAACAGACATCAGAACAGAAATCATTATTGCCTATTAGGAGAGTGGACTAGTTTCCAATGGTGGGTCATATTGACGTGAGGATCATGTTTGAGACGTTTTACTAAAATTTTCGCCATATAAGGCATATCACGCGACATGGCACCCAATTCGGCGACATTGAATCTGAAAATGGAATAGATAGATAGCTAGATAGATAGATAGATAGATAGATAGATAGATAGCTAGATAGATAGATAGATAGCTAGATAGATAGATAGATAGATAGATAGATAGATAGATAGATAGATAGATAGATAGATAGATAGATAGCTAGATAGATAGATAGATAGATAGATAGATAGATAGATAGATAGCTAGATAGATAGATAGATAGATAGATAGATAGATAGATAGATAGATAGATAGATAGATAGATAGATAGATAGACAGATAGATAGATAGGTAGATAGATAGATAGATAGATAGATAGATAGATAGATAGATAGATAGATAGATAGATAGATAGATAGATAGATAGATAGATAGATAGATAGATAGATAGATAGATAGATAGAGATAGATAGATAGATAGATAGATAGATAGATAGATAGATAGATAGATAGATAGATAGATAGATAGATAGATAGATAGATAGATAGATAGATAGATAGATAGATAGATAGATAGATAGATAGATAGATAGATAGATAGATAGATAGATAGATAGATAGATAGATGATAGATAGTAGATAGATAGATAGATAGATAGATAGATAGATAGATAGATAGATAGATAGATAGATAGATAGATAGATAGATAGAAGATAGATAGATAGATAGATAGATAGATAGATAGATAGATAGATAGATAGATAGATAGATAGATAGATAGATAGATAGATAGATAGATAGATAGATAGATAGATAGATAGATAGATAGATAGATAGATAGATAGATAGATAGATAGATAGATAGATAGATAGATAGATAGATAGATAGATAGATAGATAGATAGATAGATAGATAGATAGATAGATAGATAGATAGATAGATAGATAGATAGATAGATAGATAGATAGATAGGAGAGATAGATAGATAGATAGATAGATAGATAGATAGATAGATAGATAGATAGATAGATAGATAGATAGATAGATAGATAGATAGATAGATAGATAGATAGATAGATAGATAGATAGATAGATAGATAGATAGATAGATAGATAGATAGATAGATAGATAGATAGATAGAGAGATAGATAGATAGATAGATAGATAGATAGATAGATAGATAGATAGATAGATAGATAGATAGATAGATAGATAGATAGATAGATAGATAGATAGATAGAGATAGATAGATAGATAGATAGATAGATAGATAGATAGATAGATAGATAGATAGATAGATAGATAGATAGATAGATAGATAGCTAATAGATAGATAGATAGATAGATAGATAGATAGATAGTAGATAGATAGATGATAGATAGATAGATAGATAGATAGATAGATAGATAGATAGATAGATAGATAGATAGATAGATAGATAGATAGATAGATAGATAGATCGATAGATAGATAGATAGATAGATAGATAGTAGATAGATAGATAGATAGATAGATAGATAGATAGATAGATAGATAGATAGATAGATAGATAGATAGATAGATAGATAGATAGATAGATAGATAGATAGATAGATAGATAGATAGATAGATAGATAGATAGATAGATAGATAGATAGATAGATAGATAGATAGATAGATAGATAGATAGATAGATAGATAGATAGATAGATAGATAGTAGATAGATAGATAGAAGATAGATAGATAGATCGATAGATAGATAGATAGATAAGATAGATAGATAGATAGATAGATAGATAGATAGATAGATAGATAGATCGCTAGATAGATAGCTAGCTAGATAGATAGCTTAGATAGATAGATCGATAGATTAGATATATAGATAGATAGATTAGATAGATATAGAAGATAGATCTGATCGATAGAATCAGATAGATAATTAGATAGATAGAATGGAAGATAGATAGATAGATTAGATAGATAGATAGATAGATAGCTAGATAGATAGATAGATAGATAAGATAGATAGGATAGATAGATAGATAAGATAGATAGATAGATAGATTAGATAGATCGATAGATAGATAGTAGATTAGATAGATAGATAGATAGATAATAGATAGATAGATAGATAGATCGATAAGATAAGATAAATAAATATATAGGATAATTGTACTTATCCCTTCAAATCTTCTTCTTACTGATGTCCTCTCTGTACTCAAACCATCCTTTAAGGCATAACCATATAAATTTGGATTAAATTCCTTCAGGACATTAGGCAAAGTAAAATATTGCTGCCAGGTACCTTGGCCACCTATTGACCAACTAACTCCACGATTCTCTTGTACAGTATGCAAAATATTATTTGCAAAAATGCCATTTCCAGCTGTTAAAGAATCACCCATGGCACCTATAATATCAATATCACCCGGACGCAAACGATGTACAGAGGTGGGAGGCTCAGCGCTACGTTTACCGGGACCATTTTTGGCATCACAAAATTTCAATAGAGAGCGTGATACACGATCCATTTTTTGGGTTTTCTGGGAATTATAACAAAATTTTTTAAAGTAATTCCCAAAAAATATACAAATTATTTGTTTAGCAAAAATAAGTCTCGAAAACCTTAAACTGTGACTACATACCCCTCTCCGATGTGACATTTCTAAATTGCGTGGATCATCTCCCGATCTACCCATAACATTAAGAAAAATGGCACGAAAATTCCTTAAATTTGATCCAAAACTGAATCCAAAGAGGTGTGTTGACCCAAAGCAGTTTGTTCCAATAACAGCAAGACCACAATAAACAATTGACATTTCCATATAAAAAGCATGATTTAAATAATTTATCTAGAAATAAAACATAAAAAAGCATAAAATTATAATATAATGAATCATAAATATAAAGAAAACGAAAGTTATTTTTTTTAACCAATAAACAAATCTATAGTTTTTATTATAAATTAGCAACAAGTTTTAAAACATTTTAACACCAAACTATAGTTTAAAGCTTCCGTTACTAGTTCTCTAAAAACAACATGTTTAGTTTTGATTTGTTTTGTTTTTGGTTTAGGTTATTCAACTTTGCACACACATTTCATAATTTATTTTATTATGTATTAAACTTTAGCTAACAAGAATATAATAATAATTTTAACTAATTTGCCAAAAACTAACAATAATAGTATATTAATTATAATAACAACAAAATTAATGTTTTTTTAAACTGCAAAATCATGATGAAATTGAAACAGGAATAAAACAACATTAAAATGTTAACTTAGCAATAACTTTTCTGTAGATTTTAAGTTTATTTTATAAACAAATTTCTTTATTGTTTAACTATCAAATTTATGTATATTTTAATGAAATGCGTCATTAAACGGGATTATTTTTTATAATTTATATGCAGAAATTTTATCGAATTCTATGCGTTACATTGGAATAAGAACTTTAGTTATTAATTTTAAAATTCATGACGTAGTAAAAGCTAAATAATTTATAATCAAAAAACAAAAATAAAACATTTAAGAGAAAACAAACAATTATAACAAAAAACTTTAAGACACAAACTTTAAATTAGTGAAGAAACAACTAACTAACTTAACTAACTAACTAATAACTACTAACTAACTAACTAACTAACTAAAACTAACTAACGAACTAACTAACTAACTAACTAACTAGATCTAACTAACTAACTAACGAACTAACTAACAACTAACAAACTAACGTACTAACTAACGAACTATCTAACTAACTAACTAAGACTAAACTAACTAACTAACTAACTAACTAACGAACTAACTAATAACTAACGACTAAACTACGTAACTAACTTAACTAACTAACGAACAACTAACTAACTAACGAACTAACTAACTAACTAACTAACTAACCTAACTAACTAACTAACTAACTAACTACTAACTAACTAACTAACTAACTAACTAACTACTAACTAACTAACTAACTAACTAACTAACTAACTAACTAACTAACTAACTAACTAACTAACTAACTAACTAACTAACTAACTAACTAACTAACTAACTACTAACTAACTAACTAACTAACTAACTAACTAACTAACTAACTACTAACTAACTAACTAACTAACTAACTAACTAACTAACTAACTACTAACTAACTAACTAACTAACTAACTAACTAACTAACTAACTACTAACTAACTAACTAACTAACTAACTAACTAACTAACTACTACTAACTAACTAACTAACTAACTAACTAACTAACTAACTAACTAACTAACTAACTAACTACTAACTACGAACTAACTAACTAACTAACTAACTAACTAACTAACTAACTAACTAACTAACTAACTAACTAACTAACTAACTAACTACTAACTAACTAACTAACTAACTAACTAACTAACTAACTAACTAACTAACTAACTAACTAACTAACTAACTAACTAACTAACTAACTAACTAACTAACTAACTAACTAACTAACTAACTAACTAACTACTAACTAACTAACTAACTAACTACTAACTAACTAACTAACTAACTAACTAACTAACTAACTAACTAACTAACTAACTAACTAACTAACTACTAACTAACTAACTAACTAACTAACTAACTAACTAACTAACTAACTAACTAACTAACTACTAACTAACTAACTAACTAACTAACTAACTAACTAACTAACTAACTAACTAACTAACTAACTAACTAACTAACTAACTAACTAACTAACTAACTAACTAACTAACTAACTAACTAACTAACTAACTAACTAACTACTAACTAACTACTAACTAACTAACTAACTAACTACTAACTAACTAACTAACTAACTAACTAACTAACTAACTAACTACTAACTAACTAACTAACTAACTAACTAACTAACTAACTAACTAACTAACTAACTAACTAACTAACTAACTAACTAACTAACTAACTAACTAACTAACTAACTAACTAACTAACTAACACTAACTAACTAACTAACTAACTAACTAACTACCTAACTAACTAGCTAAACTAACTAACTAACTAACTAACTAACTAACTAACTAACTAACTAACTAACTAACTAACTAACTAACTAACTAACTAACTAGCTAACTAACTAACTAACTAACTAACTAGCTAACTAACTAACTAACTAACTAACTAACTAACTAACTAACTAACTAACTAACTAACTAACTAACTAACTAACTAACTAACTAACTAACTAACTAACTAGCTAACTAACTAACTAACTAACTAACTAACTAGCTAACTAACTAACTAACTAACTATGACACGTTACATTTGAGAGATTTCTCATTAAAAATTACTACTTTAGAAAGTTTTCTTACAGAAAAGTTTCTTTAGAAAGTTTTCTTATAAAAAAGTTTCTTCAAAAAGTTTTCTTATGGAGAAGTTTTCTTCAAAAAGTTTTCTTATAGAAAAGTTTCTTTCGAAAATTTTCTTCTAAAAAAGTTACTTTAGAAAGTTTTCTTCAGAAAGTTTTCTTTAGAAATTTTTATTCTTCAAAAGTTTATGAGAAAGTTTTCTTCTAGAAAACTCTCTTTACAAAGTTTTAGAAACGTTTTTAGAGAGTTTTCTTCTTAAAAAGTCTCTTTGGAAAATTTTCTTCTTTCTCTTTAGAAATTTTACAAAAGTTTTCTAGTGAAAAGTTTATGTAGAAACATTTCTTAGAGACAAGTTTTTAGAGAAGTTTTCTTCTACTAACTAACTAACTACTAACTAACTAACTAACTAACTACTAACTAACTACTAACTAACTACTAACTAACTACTAACTAACTAACTAACTAACTAACTAACTAACTAACTAACTAACTAACTAACTAACTAACTAACTAACTAACTACTAACTAACTAACTAACTAACTAACTAACTAACTAAACTAACTAACTAACTAACTAACTACTAACTAACTAACTACTAACTAACTAACTAACTAACTAACTAACTAACTAACTAACTACTAACTAACTAACTAACTAACTACTAACTAACTAACTAACTAACTAACTAACTAACTAACTAACTAACTAACTAACTAACTAACTACTAACTAACTAACTAACTAACTAACTAACTAACTAACTAACTAACTAACTAACTACTAACTAACTACTAACTAACTACTAACTAACTAACTAACTAACTAACTAACTAACTAACTAACTAACTAACTAACTAACTAACTAACTAACTAACTAACTAACTAACTAACTAACTAACTAACTAACTAACTAACTAACTAACTAACTAACTAACTAACTAACTAACTAACTAACTAACTAACTAACTAACTACTAACTACTAACTAACTAACTAACTAACTAACTAACTAACTAACTAACTAACTACTAACTAACTAACTAACTAACTAACTAACTAACTAACTAACTAACTAACTAACTAACTAACTAACTAACTAACTAACTAACTAACTAACTAACTAACTAACTAACTAACTAACTAACTAACTAACTAACTAACTAACTAACTAACTAACTAACTAACTAACTAACTAACTAACTAACTAACTAACTAACTAACTACTAACTAACTAACTAACTAACTAACTAACTAACTAACTAACTAACTAACTAACTAACTAACTAACTAACTAACTAACTAACTACCAAACTAACTACCTCATTAAAAACTACTACTTTAGAAAGTTTTCTTACAGAAAAGTTTCTTTAGAAAGTTTTCTTATAAACAAGTTTCTTCAAAAAGTTTTCTTATGGAAAAGTTTCTTCAAAAAGTTTTCTTATAGAAAAGTTTCTTTCGAAAGTTTTCTTCTAGAAAAGTTACTTTAGAAAGTTTTCTTCAGAAAGTTTTCTTTAGAAATTTTATTCTTCAAAAGTTTATGAAAAAGTTTTCTTCTAGAAAACTCTCTTTACAAAGTTTTAGAAACGTTTTTTAGAGAGTTTTCTTCTTAAAAAGTCTCTTTGGAAAATTTTCTTCTTTTTCTTTAGAAATTTTACAGAAATTTGCTATGGAAAAGTTTATTTAGATACATTTTTTAGATACAAGTTTTTTAGAGAAGTTTTCTTTTGCAATAATTTCTTAAAAAAGTATTATTTCAAAAAAAGTTACTATAGAAAGTTTTCATTTTTAAAAATTTCTCATAGAATATATCTTTATAATGTTTTTTTTAGATAAAAGCTTCTTAAGAAAAGTATCCTTTGGAAAGTTTTCTTTAAAAGTTATATTATTTCCTTTAAAAGTTATTACAAAGTTTTATTTTGAATAGTTTTTTTTTATAAAATTATATTTCAGAAAAGCTTTTTTATAATTTCACAAATGTTTATTATGAAAAGCTTTTTTTCAAAAGTTTCTTAAGATAGTTTTCCCTTAAAAAGTTTGACTTATAGAAAGAAAAGCTTTTTTAGACGGGTTTATTTTACAAAACTTGTTTATAAAGTTTAATTTTAGAAAAGCTTTATCTAAGAAAATTCTTTGTAAAACTCTTTACAAAAATTTTTTAATATAGAAAATTTTTTGTTATAGAAAGTTTATATTTATTGTGAAATTCCAATCAAAAAATTAATCTTTATTTATATTATAATAAAATTGTATATAAATTTTAATAAAATTTAATAATAAAATAATAAAAATAGTTATTTTTTAATAAATTTGTAGTTTTAATTCGAATAAATTGCTGTGGAAAAACCTTTAAAGGGGGAAAAACTTGCTAAGAAATTGTTACTGGGAATTAATTAAATGAAATTAAACAAATACAGTTAATTCATGTTGTAGAAATTTAAATTATAATGAAATTAAAAAAAAAACAGTTGACTAGTTAACAATTAAAGTG